AAAACAATATTGTTGTTTAATGCCTATTCAAATTAATTTTGTTATCTTATAACTAATTAATTAGTATGTAATTACTTTGTTATCATAGATGAGTATCCTGTTGGTCAAGAAGTTGAATATGATGGCCGTATGGGCAAACWGCGAATAACAAGTGAAGAGAAACGAGCAATTGAACGTTCAAAGTATGATGATTACAATGATGCCAGACGGGCAGCTGAAGCTCATAGACAAGTAAATTTATTTATTTATTATCTGTTATTTAATATTAATTGTTGTGAGTTAGGTAAGAAAACATATTCAAAGCTGGGTGAAACCTGGTATGACTATGATTGAAATTTGTGAAGAGTTAGAGCGATGTTCTAGAGCTTTAATTGGAGAAGATGGACTTAAAGCTGGTCTAGCTTTTCCCACAGGATGCTCAAGAAATAATTGTGCAGCACATTATACACCCAATGCGGGTGATCCTACAGTCTTATTATATGATGATGTTACCAAAATTGATTTCGGCACACACGTGAATGGTGAATTGAATGTTTTCTTCTCTTTTAAATTCCATCCATAATTTTTTTTTTTTTTTAGGCCGTATAATTGATTGTGCATTTACTTTGACTTTCAATCCCAAGTATGATAAGCTTGTTGAAGCTGTGAGGGATGCAACTAATACAGGAATAAAAGTAAACTCTRAARATTAAAATTTACTATAAAAAATAACTTGCTGACAATTTAATTATTAGGCTGCTGGTATCGATGTTAAGCTTTGTGAAGTTGGTGAAGCAATTCAAGAAGTAATGGAATCTTATGAAGTTGAGCTTGATGGTAAAACATATCCTGTTAAGTCAATTAGAAATCTCAATGGCCATTCAATTGATGCATATAGTAAATATAAAATTATTATAACAATTTTAATCATTTTAGATTGCGAGTGAAGTAAGATATGTATTGGTATATAGCTAACACATACTTTGGTCGATTGGTTTTTTAAAAAAATACCATTTACTAAATAACTTATTATTTTCATCTTAAATAATGAACAGAAAGAATTTGCTATTAAATAGTTGGTTTTTTTGAGTATTACTCATTTTCTTATTGAAATGTAGAAATTTAAGCTAGTAAAAAATTAAAAATCTATTTAAAAAAAACATAAAACGTTATTTACCTTTACTCAGAATACTTTGCATTGCTTTTATAATTGAATATTTAAATATCATAATTACATACCAACTATGGTCATAATCAACCGCCCTTGTCTTTAGAACATCATTCTTCCCTACTGTTTTAAGCTTACAAAGATTGAATAGTTATACTGAATTAAAAACTAATGTGTCAATTTGTATTTTTGACCATATTTAATAAAAAATACCTGTCCAACCTGGTTTAGGTAGTTGTAAGTTGGAATATTATTTGTACATGCCTCAGATTTGAATTTATTTATTTTGCAGGAATACATGCGGGAAAAACTGTACCAATTGTTAAAGGTGGTGAAGCAACTATGATGGAGGAGAACGAGTTTTATGCTATAGAAACATTTGGTTCCACTGGCCGTGGCATTGTWCGAGATGATATGGATACATCCCATTATATGAAAAATTTTGATGCTCCATATGTGCCACTACGACTCCAAGCATCACAAAAATTGCTCAGTACAGTCAATAAGAATTTCAGTACATTAGCATTTTGTAAACGCTGGCTTGATAGGTTGGGCGCAACGAAATATCAAATGGCACTAAAAGACTTATGCGATAAAGGTAAGTTTTTACATTTGTCTAAAAAATGTATACATTTCTGTTACTTTGACAATAATTGAATATAATATTTTATTTGTACAGGAATTCTTGACGCTTATCCACCATTATGTGATATCAAAGGCTGTTACACAGCTCAGTTTGAGCACACAATTGTACTTAGACCAACTTGCAAGGAAATCATAAGCAAAGGAGATGATTATTAACTCTACGAGTAATTTAAGTCCATACAAATATTATGTCGCTAATATCATAACAAATACATTGTTATTCTAAATAAAATGTTAACCTTCGGTGGTCAATAAATGAAAAAATTAAATTTTATGGTGTTATAATATATAAAACCTATTCAAAAATTGATTAACTACCGGTCAATTACACTTAATATTATATTATCAATATGTGGATAAAAATAGGTTTATTACTTAATTTATTTATGTTTCCTTATTTTTTTTTTTTTTTTTTACATAATATGCCTTGATAGTTATTGACTTTTCTGTTGTTCATCATTGGTCAACAATGATTCTGCCATACGCTCGTAGTCATCTAAGCTATACTGTGTAAGTGAACGGTCAAATTCCTTCATGAATTCTTTTAATACCTTGACCGTATCTTCTGTACTATAATGTTCTCGTACATGTTTAGTGATCATTTCTTCTAATTCGTCAGTTTTAATGATTTGCTGCTTAACAATTAAGTTCAATCTGGTACCGTCCTTTATTTGTGGATAATCAACTAAAGTTTTTTCATCTATAAATATTTTTWAAAAAAAGTTATCCTTTATAAATAATGCTTAATCACGATAGATAAATATTATATATTGAACAAAGAAATTGTAAAATAATAAAGTTAAAGAATAATTACCACATAAAGGACGACCGGTAAGCAATAATCTTTGATCTTTAACAGGAACCTTAAGTGCTTCAAATACATGATTTTTTAGCTCTGMTATTGTCATCTCACTTTGAACCTAAAAATGAATTGATCGCATTAAAATGCAATTAAAAAAAATTAACTGAATCACAGAACTATTAGATAATTGGCAATTATAAACATTTAAATGGAATTATCATATAGTTTGAAACTAAGTGATATAATTAACTTATAAAATGTATGACGTCATTCAAGATTTGAACTACAAAATATATACTTCAATTTGTACGCAATTATCATAATAAGCTTATAAATAAGTCAATGCATTCATGCATTGTTGAGGAACAAAATAGTATACAGAATTTTTTTTTTTAATAATTAATCATTTATTTAAAAATATTATTTAAATTTCATATACTTATTAAAAAAAAAAAAAAATTATAAGTATTAAGTAGGTAGTAACTATAATGATAGTATCATTTATAGTATATATTTTAGTTATACAATAAATGTTAAAATATAAAAATTAATGGATTAAAATCATATAAAAACTTGTTGCGAGGCTAGCATGTCTGCAAATGGTTTTACTAGTCCACGAGTAGCAAAATAGAATACAAGTCCAAAAGTTATTGATATAGGTAAAGCGGGCAGAGCTCGTCTAAATATAGCTAATAATAATAGTGTTAGGCATAATCCAATTAGTATAGCCACAAAGCATGCTAATGTGGTATTCCAGTCTCCATAAGATGACGCTTTGCCCACTAAAACGCTGTAGAATATAAAATCTCCTAATCCAAGCTTGACACCTTTATCTTCATCRTCCATCAGTCTTCTACAAATTCTGACTTCTTCGGTCTGAGGCTGCTGATGTTCTTCAACCCAGGTCCTAGTAAATCCATTTTGACTGTCTGTAGTACTATCGACACTATCTGAACGGTTCATCATGTAAACAACCGTAGAAGAGTAGATTAGTGCAGGGAATATTTGTTCATTACGCTCCTCAGCCAATTCAACAAGAATACGCAAGGGTCCTCGTGGAGTGAGGACAGCAATCAAGTCCCAAATAGATATAACAAGCAGCACAGCCCAAGTGGTCCATTCGGGCATGTACTTGATAAACACAAGTGCCATGAGGGCAGCAACAAATATCAGATATGATTGTTGGAGTCGAAGCGGGCCTTTCCAGTGTATACATATCATACCAAGCATACCAATATTCCAGATAACCAAAAAAAATGTTATATAATCCATAGGAACGTTATATGTGTATAAGATTTCCTCAATGTACAGACATGTAAACATGGACAACAGAAGCAACGACGACATGATGAGCCACCCGTGTATTATCTTATAACACCGATATTTGTACAATGCGATTAAGAACACTGTCATAACAATGACAACAGATATGAGTATCAGGGAATTGGCCACAGCGTTCAGTACTTTGGTCGAAGGTTCGGGACTGGTTTCGTGGAACGGCGTATACACCAGGTACACGTCTTTGACGTTGTAGAATGACACAGAGTTGATCGTGGCCACCACCACCAACATACACATCGACACGGGTACAAACAGCTTGATGACGTGTTCGGCACCATACTTGAGCGTTTCTTCTTCTTGGGCCGTCAACGAGTCACGTCGGGACGTTTCCCTGGGGGCCTCGGCAGCCATGAGCGGAATTGAATCTCTACGAGTCGGTGACTTGCTGTTGCTACTGCTACTACTTCTACTTCTGTTGCTGCTGTCGCGCATCAATATTACACACAAACAAGGAGTGACGCCAAAGTGTAAGCCTCAATCTACGCACAAAGATCTAAGCGCGTGTTCTCACTTCCTCAACAATTTAACAGAAAATAACGTATCGTTTAAAAAGCTCCCATACTCACGTCGAATGAACATTCCTGTCCGTTAAGTATCTTGATGTTGATTTTCATTGTTTCCGGACCGTGCAACAATCACTGCATTTAAACCGCAAATCAATACTCTTGATTTACACACAGGAAGTGTCGCCAAACTCAAAGCTTCATGACGTCGTGAACAAGCGAGGTTCTACGGTAGTACGGTGCCTGCCTATTTGAGAACACACGATTCGAGCGAAAAGGCGCTACTCGATCGCGATTCCAAGGTGATTATTGAAAAAATGAAAATCGGAATAGGTAAAATAGGCAATAGCAGCTCGTAGCCGTAGTGGCTAGCTGATGTCGAGACTCGAGAGTGGGTGATATGGAATAAAACGAAATAGAGTATACAGTGCGAACAATCATGCATCAGTTATTGGCTATTGCTGCAGCTATATACGACATATTATTAYATAYAGACAATTTGATAGATTATTGTAAAAAATACAAAAACCAAGGATGTTGTATGAAGTTTAGGACTTTAAAAACGGCGGCAAATTTAAACCTGTTATAAACCGTACGTATATTTACACACATTAGACATAATATTACTGTAATATAAATATATAATAATATATTTAAAATATTATCATTAAATTTTGAACGTTATTAACCAAATTATTATTATCGAATCGATATTTTAATCTAAAAAGACAATAAAGGATATTAGATAGTTATGGTTTATTGATACAAAGACACAAAGCATTAGCCAAATATTGAAATTATGACTTAATAATTAAATAATGTATTGGTTTTGCAATGATTAAATTATATTAATTGAAAACCTAGTGTTATATCATTATTATAATAATTATCATAATTATCATGGCTTTCAAATTCATAGTATACAATTAAATAATTGACCGCAGTCCACAGTAAATTATCGTTGAAACTCTGGAGYGGAACACAAGTACTTACTCATTTAACAGCTTAACAGCCGCCCTCAGACCCTATAAATGTAAATAAYTATACAAAAACAACAWCTTTTGTAATTAATTTCATCCTATAATTACTATCATATTGTACTGCAAAATATTTTTTTCAAATTGGTTTTATTACCATTATAACAGTGAGTTTATTTTCACATTATTGTAAAATAAACTGATGTTTCAAATTTTAAGTACCTAAAAGAATATTTAAGTAAAGATCGAGACAGGCCATATTTTTATAGCTATATAGCTGATTTTTCACAATATTTGCAATTTATGTTATTATTATATTTTTATTAGTATTAATATTATCAACCTGACAACCTATTTATATTTTTAAATAAATAACTTGATAATTTCCTTCAAACTGATATTTGTGAATTTTAAGTAAAATACATTTAATATTTTTTCCTGAGTTATTATTTCCGTGTCGTTTTTTCCTAGATTCTCGGATTTGTTGGGTAAATGTGAATATCTAAATAAAAATAAAATTGYGATCTTTATTCTTTGTAATTTTCCAGATTTCAATTTCAAAAACGTGACCAACTACTAAGTGGTTATCACCAGTTTACCACTATACTGTCTACTACACCACTCYGCTGTACAGGTARATGTCTAGATTCTAGAGGAGTAACTGTATAATAGATGCGTTAAACATTAACTCAATAGTATAAATCCTATATTACTAAATACTTATATTTGATATTAAGGTAATATATTTTACTTAGTATAACAGTATACATTAGATTGAATGAATGTTTGCCAAAAGAATTTCGCTTTTAAATTTCATTATACATGTAATATAAATATATAATAATAAAGATAGAACGTTTCAAGTACCCACGAAAAATATTTTTGAATTATAACAAAATATAACAAAAATTGTTATTTTTCGTTTAGAAGATTTAGAATTGTACAAAATATATTGAACTAAAAACTCTATAAAAGAAAGATTTATTTTCGTTTACAATAGTAGGTATCTGCTTATGAGAAACCTTGTTGTAAACTTCAATCCTTAATCATAAAATTGAATAGTTTCAAAATTTTAAATACTATATAGTTAGAGTACCTGTTAAATGTTAATCATATTATGCATAATTTAGAGGAACTTTGAGGGCTTTGCTTTTCCAAATTCCAATATAAAAGTTAACCGTYACAAAACTTTGTATTCTAATTGCAGTTTTAAATGATTCATTAATTATCTTATTACTGTCAGATTATCTAACATATATAATTCAAAAAACCTTGTTAGAGAAGAATATTTTCTTAAGTTTAATTAAAGACTCATTTTGTATATGTTTTCCATAATAGCTAGATTCAAATCCACTTCTAGAACATAATTGTCGACCGTGTGTTATCGATAGATGGTTACGATTGTTGCGGTATTAAGATATATATTTATTGTCCATAGTAACGATTGTTTGTGTAAGCCTACTTGGTTACTCATTAAGTTTTTATAACGGTTCTATTCAAAGTAAATATGTAATAGCCAATATGACAATATTAAACAAATATATTAGGTGTACCAAAATATAAAGGTTACCAAATTATTTTTCAATTGTACATAGTATATGAGATTATATAGCTTGATGGATTGCATTAAAATTTAAAATAAGTTAAGTAATCGCGAATTTAGAACACTAGCAGACTGCAGAATAACCAGTAAACTTTCCTGTACTTGTTTAATAAAATTCCTTAGCACAGCCGCACAGGTGTTACAGGTGCTACCCGGCGTATAGCATACCTAGGCAAAATAGCCAAAATAGTGCCTACCTACATATTAAGCTAGGCGTGATGAAATGAAGACATTCAGCGTTTGGATCCGTTCAGACTCGAGTATATTTTTATACATTGCGCTTTTGGGAATAAAAGTTTATCCTTCTACCCTGGAGTAGTTAGCAGTTTGAAAATACATATTTAATTTAAATCTAAAAAGTAAATYTAAGCCCAAAATAATATAAAAAGAAACTTACGCTTAAACATGGGCTCTTCAGGTGTAACCGATATTGTATATCAACAAATCGAGGAATGTTAAAATATTGGTCTCATMATTTGTTTATGCTGTACCTATTCATATAAATTAATGGTAAATATCCCCTGAAGCCTCCTTGTGCAAATTTGCTCTCTGAGTGACATCAAGGGGAGTTATACAGTCTTTTACACTGCAACAGTGACAACTGCGTTGGACATCGTCGCAGACAAAACTGAACGAAATCAAACTTTCTATCAACCCTTGGCCATTATAGTCATAATCAGGACTAGGATTTATATGCAATAAAAAATTGTAAAATATGCAAAACTATGCATTTAAATTTTTTAAATATACAATAACACACACAAATGTAGTTACAAAAAAAATATTGCAGAAATATATCAGTGATTAGCTAATTGTCATATAATACGTAGAATTAAGATTAAAAATTAAATTAATTATTTATTTTTCCCATACATTAATTATTATTTTGTAATACAATTTATAATTCTCATTCAATCAATAGTAGAAATATGAGTATTAATGTATTATTATATGCTACGACCACATGTTTTTTAAATTTTCGAATAGATCATCTAGATCGATGAACGTACATAAGTATACTCATCGTACCTTAGAATTGTATTTGTATTTATAAAAACAAATATGTTCAACCAAAAAACCAAGTTAAATACTTTGATCAGTTTAGTTATTATTGGTATAAGTATTCAATGAATACGATCATACTAAATATATGTATTAAGCTCAATACATGCAAAAACATACAAAATAAAAATAGTACCATTTTCATCACAATAATATAAACCGCGGACATTACTCACTTAAATTTCATTTGGACGTAGCAAAAAAAAAACATGCTGTTGCATACAAATCTTAGCCCAGGTCATAATCAACAGACTCAGAATTGGGCACACATATGGGTAATTGATGAGGCGCGAAGACCCTGCCCATTGCTTAACCTACGAGGAAGGTCTAACAGTCAAACACATCCTTCTACATTGCCGTAACTATGTCGATACCAAAACATAATATTTCGGACCACTTAAATGAAGTCTTGAACCCAGTCTTGAAAACTGCAGCAACATCATACAATTTTTACAAAGAACTAAACTTTATAACTTTATATAGTATTAAATTGTTTTTTTTTTTTATCTTTTTTATCCTTCTCTTCCTTGTATAATATTCTTAAACCTACCACAATGTAATAATTTAATAATGTATCTTTAAAATGTAAGCTAATAACCTTAGCTGTTGAGGTTTTAAATAAATAAATAGTAAATATATATTTAGACATAAATGTATAACGATGAGTGGGACGAGATTGATTCTGTTTTCATATTTTATTTTACTAGGAACCAACACATAATTTCAGCTATACACACCCCCTAACTAATTTAAAGGCCCTGCAGCTATAGTTACTCCTATGCTGTTAGGCGGTATGTTGAGTTATGTATACAGAAGTATACTAATATATAGGTACAGTGTATATATATTATATATATATATATATATATCTACAGTTATATATACTCATATAACTGCTGCATTAATTTGCTAATAAATATATTACTGTCAATGTATTATGTACATGATGTACATGTATTAACAAAAGTTATTTGTTTAACTATATATATTGATCGATTAACTTTTAATGAGAAAAAATATTTGTTTACAAAAATATATACATTGGACGATTGAAGTACATTAATATTAAAATTAATTAATATACATAATACAAAAAATGAAACTACTCTACGTCTACAATTATTCTGATTGCTTGGAAAACTTTCCTAGCTGTCCACATTGATACATAAGTGACAAGTGAGGGTGAACCATCAAGGGCCCGTACTCGCCGTTTGCCTGTGTACAAAAAAAGTTTTATTTTTATTCACACAAAGATACGCGATTATTAGGTAAACTTATAATTATTTTAAGTACCTATATGTGATATTATATAAATCCTTGCAGTCTAAACTTATCTAGTTTTTTGACTAACTGAACCACGTATATTATACGTCGTATAAGATTCAAAACTAACGAGTGAATAAATAAATAATTATTTCTATAATTATTTWGATGATCAAGGTCTAATCGAACAAGAAAATCATTCAAAAACTCTTAARCCAAATTTATGGAATACCTATGGATCTTATAACAACTAACACAAGGTATAAACTATAATGGCTTCTATTTAGTTATTCGTTGTATCTTTTTTAAAACATACTTTTCTATATAGGTACCTAATCTGGTAATCTACTAATATTATTTACAGTACCTATGTATATCTAATCAACCTGTCAGATTATATGCACCAAATTATACTTWAAAAAAATTATGTATAACTTACATTTACATCGAGTATTGACATCACCGATTTGAAATTAATCGGTTAGGTAGTTAAATTATAATAAATATATTATTATTCGATCTTATCGAGAAAAAAAACATTCTTATGATCAAAATGTATGGTAACATTTTCAAGTGCGTTAGGCACAGGAATATTAGGTATACCTATATCCTATACGGATATACAGCTATATACAACGTAATATTTTAATCATAATCATAGGTACTATATAAGTATATAACCTTAAACCTAATATAATCTATGAATTATTGTATAATTTCCAGTTKCCACCATAAGTGACAGTAAAATATAATATTAAATAAACAATTTACAGCATATAATTGAAAAACRTGTCTACTTCTTTAAGCAGCTTGTGATGGAGTAAAGAATTATACATAGTATTTCTAAAATTATAAGTAAAATTAAATATAATATTTCTTTTCACAAMAAATGATAAATAAAAGAAACCACTTTCTAAAAATATAAAATGTATATTCGGATACATGAAAATATGAAATTGACATTTCAAAGAAAAAATAATAAATATAAGGATTATAAACATAGGTACTAATGAAAAATATAATAAATGTCAAATGTAGGTACAAAAAATTGTGACCATTCCATTCGATRTTACAAGATAATTTAATAAACTTATAAGGTACTAAACTAACCTCTACAGAAATAATATAGAAAAATTAACAATACCTAAATGTACCTACCGATTACCTAGGTACTTTAATTTACTCACCTGTTTTTCGTACACTTGTTTTTCATCTACGGTCATATTATCCCAACTTTCTGAAATAATTTTTCGAACAAAGTCTGTGGGGAGTCCAGGTTGTGTCCAATGATATAAATTCATCGTCTTTTTTACATAGATTCTTTTTGCTTCACTTTGGGTCCAGCTGGAGTGATGTACTCTTTTATTTGTTTTATTTATCTGCTGTATATTTAAAATAAAAAAATAATAATGRAAATATATATTTTTTTAATATGTGCAAGGTGCTTACAAAAAGGCTAAACAAAATTATTTATAAATAGGTATAAGCGTCTATCGAATCTATGTGAATATMGCGAAAAAAAAGGCGAAAGTAAAAATCGCGAAATGTTTTAACAGCGAAAACTTTATTGATAGCGAAAAGTAAGAAATTATTTTCGTTAGTGGGTAGGTATACCTTTAATCTTTATAATATAATAAGTAATAAATAAACATTAAAATAATATAAAAATCAAAATACTAAACACAATTAAATTTAAATTTAATATGATAAACTATAGGCAACACCTCTTAAGTCTTAGGTATTCAAGTCTGTCCCTATTTTCGTAGTCATTGACTAATTCTTAAAGTGTATCCCCTTTATTTATTATCTAGTGTTATTATTAATTGTTAATTATTATATTATAAAGGTATACCATATACCCACTAACGAAAATAATTTCTTACTTTTCGCGATTTTTATTTTCGTCGTTTTATTTTCGYGATTTTAACTGGCACCCGCGTTTATCATCATTCATCACCGTTCTTCAATCCGCTGGCGCAAAAACTATTTATACTACTTTTTAAAGTGACGGAAAAAGGAATTAAAAATTCATTGAACACTAGGTATACAATTTATGCATTTACAATCCATGGTCTACACTCTACTTTAAAATAATACCCAACTTATTATTGTGAATAGAGWGTGATACTCTAATAATTTACAGTATAATAGTAAACTTTAAAAAGATTATAAATACATGGTAGCTGCAGGTAGGTAACAAATTGTATTCTTACTTTACGCATGTTGGGTCGGACAGGAAAGTTTGCAAAAGCGATGGATCCAGGAACAAAATTATCCGGCAGGCTAAAATGTATCGAGTCCATAGACTTTTTATACGGCAAAAGTTTTTGGAGTTGTTCGGGAGTCATATCAGGTGACGGATAGTTCTAAATTAAGGACATGTGTTAAAAACTAGGTACTGTACAATATTACAATCATATTTGACTAAGAATTTAATATTAATTCGAGGGTTTGAAACAACTAGTTTGTAAAAATTTATAGATAGACAATTTTTATAGATTATAATATTTTTTATCGGTATTTTAATATTAAAAATAGGTAGGTATATATGGACATTAATGATAAATTGATCAACTTGTATTATACAACCATACTAGTCGATACATAAATGCATGCTCCAGTATACAGGATATTTAGGTACGTCATAAATATGCGGATGAAGATATTTTGTATTAAAATGTAAAAGTTAATAAGAAAAACTCTCAGTTCTTAATTAGTTTGAGAATTTATAACTCGTTAGGACATAAGGTTTTACCTTGTACATCGAATAAATTAATAACCAATGATTTATAAATTATGTTGAATGACGTTAGTAAAATTGTAAACATAATACGAATAATTTGTTTACAATTGAGTAAATGTTTTTGGCTTTGCCTCGCCGACCATCTCTACAAAAATTCGGTTACACTTCAGAATGCCGTTAATCGTAATAATTTACAGGTAATAGTATAATTGGGTATTACCATTTTGTTGTTCATATTGCTTTGATTGAAGATGTTTATTTTGTGACTGGTAATATTTTTTTTCAAGATCAGAACAATTAATTTATACTTTATTTAGATTGGTCTTTTAAACTATACTTGCAAATGTTCACGAAAATACTAAGTAGGCAATGTAGCATGTTAATAATCAATATTAATTATGTCATTTTATGTTTTTCCTYTGTATAAATTATGCTTGTCGATTGTTACAACCATAGAGATGACAGGATATACAGGGATTACATGATTTGTCGTTTTATCCGCCATTGTCCACATATACATAGAAGTGCTCAGCTCAGACTAAGAAGCATAACGTATCTATATCTACCTWTACACACTAAAATCCAACGTTTAGAGTTCAGAGCGTATACAGGTTTTGTAGGTACCTATTATAATAGGCGTATATTCGTATATAGTATCAAAGGCATACCTATGGGAATATGATTGTGGTGGTGGGACATAGAATAATATTACTATATGGGGTAGGATCCGATAAACTTTTTTATAGACAATTATCTTCAAGCATAATATCTCCAATGAAGTTATTAATACGACAGTGATGATTATCTGAATCCTTAGTAACAACCAGAAAAATAACTATTACATACAATTTTAACTATCTATAGTAGGAAATACTTTCTGGTTAACTTTCCAAACTATAAACAACAATAATAATGACATAGAACTTTAACTATGTCCCCATTTAGTCAAATTGATTTCTGATGCTAGACTCAATTCCAAATGATCAACAACGGTTAAATTCGCAAATGACAAGTAACATA